TTTTCCTTTTTTATGGCTTAATGAGAGCGGTGGGCTTTAGGCTGCCCTGCAAGGCTTTAAACGTGGGTTTGATTCTCAAGCACATATCAAGGTGCTCATTTTGAGGCTTGATCGATATTTATTTTTGATAATGTTCATGGTGGAGAATCCTGCTTCATCCTAAATGTTTTAAATCAGGTTGGGTCCGGATCCAGACTGTGGTCCACTAATCTGTGACCTCTGCTCTAGAACCAAAGTCTCCTCTGCATGGGACTCTGGTAGCTAAGAGAAGTAGTCATGGTGACAGAGTCTCAGTGACTCTCTACATTTAACCAATCCTTTAACTTTTATTGATTGTATTGTATTATTTAAATATTCTTACTGTGATTACTAAATGTACTGGGCACATGAATTCCCCTATGGGGGATTGGTAAAGCATCTATTTACATCAGCACCATAAATACAAATGTCTTCACCTCCAATCCTGATGTACTAGTGGAACAAACAAACCTTGACTTGGTGATGGATTGCATTTCAAGTTTAGACCACACCTTATATATTGTTGGAACTAAAAAAAAATAATAATGTTCATCGTTGCTGCATGAAAATTCTGCATAAGCACTTGGACTTCACCTATAATTTCTTGTAATAAATTATTAATCTATCTTTTTTTTTTTTCAGTTAAAAACATACTTGCACATTTACATTTATAGATGAACAAAAATGTGTAATACAGGAAAAAAAAAACATTTATTGCACTTTTGAAAAACAATTGTAAGTGGCAAAATGTGTACAAACTTGATTTATTTGAATATATAACGAAACAATTTGATCTTTAGTGACGCAATACTATATATTTTATGTTTTTGTAGTTTATATTTGTTGCAATTTGTCTTAATTACTGCAGTAAATAGGTCGACTTCAATATTAGAGGATTTATCAAAATTAATCTAAATAAATGTTTCAGCCGTTGTAAGAACAGACAACTATGGTGTCTTGAAGTTTCAGGTAAATTAACTTTTTAAGGTGCCTCTAAGGTTTTATTTTGAAAACTTTTTCAATAAGCGGTGGTGTGCAGCTGTCCTGGCATCATGAGTAGAGACAAAGAAGCTGAAACTATTTTGAGTTGATGGGAAGAGATACTGTAAAAGGAAACAGAAAAATAGATTCATTTGTCAGATCGTCCTAGTCAAAATCCACCCCAAATCCAAACGAGCATCTGTGGAAAGTCATGCATAATTGATGTTGAGGAAGGGTAAAAAGCTGGTGCAGAGAGACCCTAAAACACTAAGTTTTTAGATAACATACAAAACCCTAAAGTCTCTAAGTTTTGGTGCTAAACTTTTGTGAAAAGTTCATATCCTCTACCAGCTGAGACAGAACAAATTGCCTCTACCAACAGAGAATTGATCCAGATGAGGCTTCCTTAGTATGAATTTGTGTTTTTAAGATACCTGTTTTCCGTGAGCAGGTGTACAGAGTAGAAGTGAGACCTATTATGGATTTATAAAATGTTTTTCTTCTACATGCTGTGCCGTCGGAGCCGACAGCTGGGAATGGAAAAGCTATTTTAGTCTATGGATATTCTGTTTGTGCCTCCAAATTGATCCAGGCGCTACACTTTCTCCCTCCTCCAGGGTGTATCGCAGAGCCGTCAGGAAGTGTGTATCACAGGCGCCAGCACAAGGATATTAATTTTGGGCAATCATCCCAGCACCTCACTTTTAAAGGTCTCCTGTCTGTGGAAATTTTCCAAACCTGATTGTTTTTCTACTGGAGCGAAAATGGAGCGTCCGCCGTGCTGCACTGGTTCTCAGATTGGGGAGGGAGGGAAAAAAAAAAAGCCTCCGGCTTCTTCTATTTTCTGCTGCGGCAGAGTCACGGCCAATTGAAGTTTAAATGATCAATTTGGAAGCAAAGAGCCCAGTGATCAATGCCCTAATGGTACAAATACCAGAGTTCTGTCAGTGTGATGTAAGAGTGTTCGAAGTGGCTCTGACAGCTTGTCTTTCAGGCCCGCTGCTCTCCCCTTCTTTAAGAGTAAAAAAGAAAAAACCTAATCACTCATGCTTGATTTGGGAAGAAATGTGCGATTCTTATAGGGTGGAAATAAGATGTGAATTCATGTGTGTACTGCATCAGGTGGAAATTACCCGCACGCTGCTAAAATATTACTGAACTCTTTTGAGAAACCATTATTGAGCCTATTAGCAAAAAATATTTTAAATTGTAATATTTTTAGATATTTTCAGGTTGGATGTATTGCTATAAAACTATATAGGTAATGATAAATTAACCGGAATACATCCAACCTGAATTATTAAATTAAAAGTTAAATATTGTTCTTATCAGTCATAATACAGAACCATAAGGCTAACATTTTTATTGTTTGTTAATGAGAATATCAGCAAGGGTATATATGTTATAATATATATTATATTATGACGCTTATCAATTGTTCTGTCGATTATTGATTCCTTAAAGAAAGTTTTTTTTTACAGATTTAAATCAGGTGCAACTAAAACCTTTCCACTTAAGGAGTTCTGAATAGAACATATTGACACACAAAAAAGCTTTTTTTATGTTAAATACAAAATATTTATATATATTTTTTACAATATTTGTATAATTACTGCTATAAGTGGGTCGCTCTGTCAGCTAAAATCTTGTGTTAGTCTTTATACTCTAGTTAAGAATCAATTACTAAATTATTTGATGATTATTTCAATAACCGATTAATCCGATTAACTGTTTTCAGCCCTCATATTAGCTTAATTTAATAAAAAAAAAAAAAAAAAAATTGGGAACATTTCTGTATAGACGTAGAAGTAGGTCAGCTTAAATGTATAAAGGATGATCTTTTATTTCCGGGTGGATCAACTGATTAAGTGGTCCTCCTAATTGTCAATAATTCTGGTGATATGTTTACATAAAGCCGTTGTACACGCTTCTTCCATTAGCTATATTTTTCTGCGCATTCGCACTTTCAGGCGTATATCTGTGGTGAGTTACGGTTACAATCATTGAAGCTCACTTTTTGAACCGCGGTTCTTTGAAAATGGCCGAATGTCACAAGGAAAAGTGTCAAAAGGAAGTGTATGAGAAGAAAGGCATCAGAAGAATCAAATATATCCCAGAATGCTTTGCAGGGAGAGCTCTCCTGTTGTCACAGCGGCCCACTGTCGCTACCCGACAGTTGGAGGAGTTTAGTTAAGTGACCTAAAGCAAAGATCATCTGTCTGAACAGATAACTGAGTTCGCTATAAAAGTCCACTATATAGTCCCCGCTCTATATAGTGATTGAGGGATTTAGGAGTTAGAGCGGATGTTCAGTAAGCTTGAAGGAGCTATGACAACAGTAACTTTTAAGCAGAGCGTGCCCGAGAAGAAATGGGCTCATGCATGCTCTTGTTTTTTAAAAAATTATGAAAATCCTCCACGATACCTTTAAGCTTGTGTAGCAGCAGTGCTAATGCTTCAGTCAAACTTGCTTGTTAGGTTATTTTCTAAAGCCTGACGCCGCCGTTTGTAAAATGTCGCTGTTTTGGAAATGGCTTAGATGCCACCTCATTGGAACAGTAAAGCGAACAGTACATGCTTTAAAAATAAACAAAATATTAATAATGAAGTTCCGGGTTCAATTTACGGCCCGGGGTCTTTCTAAATAGAGTTTGCATGTTCTCCCTGAGCATGCGTGGGTTCTCTCCGGGTACTCCGGCTTCCTCCCACAGTCCAAAAACATGACTGTTGGGTTAATTGGCTTCTCTAAATTCTACTTGGGTGTGAGTGTGTGTAAATAGTTGTTTGTCCTGTTTGTCTCTGTGTTGCCCTGCGATGGACTGACGAACTGTCCAGGGTTTACCCCACCTCTCGCCCATTGAAAGTTGTAGATGGGTACCAGCACCTCTCGCGACCCCACTTAGGAGTAAGCATGTTAGAAAATGGATGGATGGATGATAATACTGACAACAGAATAACAGAAGTTTACTAATCTAACTAAGTAAAGGCTACGGCTGAGTCTGGCCGACTCCAAAGACGTCTGCATGTGCTACAGCTGGACTCAAAGCAGCTATCTACCTGGTGGGAAAATTCTTCTCAGAGAGAAAAGGTCTTCAAATCAAACTGTTTCATATGTGACAGTGAGCTTCGGATGGTTGAAAGTACAGGAAATTGGTAGCCTCGTGAGACCATCCTGATCTCGTGAGCTTTTAAGGTTTCACTCGCTAATCAGTCTGGAGACTCTCCGTTGAAAAAAATTTGGAGCCGTTCACCAAACGAACGTCCAATCAGCGTTGGCTTTGAGGCGGGTTGAGGTGTGACGCAACGAGAAGCGCGACAGTTCAGTCTAAAGAACATGGCGGCTTCAGCCGATGAAACTAGCGTTAGCGTGGCTATCGAGCAAGTTTTATCGGAATTACAGAGTATTTCTTCACTGAAAGAAGAGCAAAACACTGCTCTGGAGGCTTTTCTCAGAGGAGAAGATGTTTTTGCTCTTCTCCCGACTGGTTTCGGCAAGAGTTTGATCTATCAATTGGCTCCTCTTCGTAGTCGCTCTGTTACGTCATATGCTTCGTTGATCTGATTGGTTTATTTGGCCCGTCTATCACCAACATAGGCCAATCAGCTAACCAGTATTTTCGCCCCTTCCCAAAATTACTTCAATGGAAGGTTTCCAGATGGATACGCGGAGCAAATCCATCTGGCGGAGTCAGGTTAGGAAATTGGTACATTGGACTTTAAAATCTCAAATGTCCACAGAGGGAGTCTGTGGAATCCACACCCCTTTTTAAAGACACACAGTACCAAGTGCCTTGTTAGGCACCAGGCCTTACCAGGAACTTACAAGGTTTAGGTTTTAAAAAATTGCAAGAAATCCTAAATTTAAACTGATTTAAAATATTCTAGATTTTGAGCACACATGAAAAAGTTGCAAGTATTTTCTCATAATCTTATTTTCTATTTTTTAGACTTGTCGGCACAGCTTCCAGGAGTTGAATCGTTCTTTTATTTCAGATGTACATTGATAAAAACCTAGTCAAATAGAATGTATTCAACTTGTTACACCATTTTTATTGGTCAAATTGTAACAGTTTGTTTAATCAGTGCAGTCAGAAAGAAGGAAACACTGCAGTTTGCCAAGTTTGTGCTTTGATACTCTCATAAAGCCAAACACCACAGAGTCACAAGATTTCAACATAGAGCTAGATAACAACAGGACATCAATGACCCAGTCATCATTTAGGAAATGTAATAAATAGGCCTTCTTTTCATATAATTTACATGTTTTTTCATGTCTTGTTTTTTTTCTTTTATTGCAGAACTTAGGGAACATCTTCACAGCCTTGAGAACATTCAAAGCATTTGCAACTGAATAAATAAACACATTTTCCACAATTGCAGTGCTGAAATGTAGCCTTAAGAAAAAAATATAAAATGTTCATGGTTCCCTAGCAAATACATCCATCGTAAATATTAAGACACCTTTCGGCAGTCTGGCGTAGCGCTATAACCCTGTGAGGGCAGGAGGTCCTGGCTGAGTCACAGAACAAGGAGGAAATAACAGAGCCGTCTGTCCGTATTAATGCTCTGGCTCCTCACCATCGCACCACCTGGCTACTGTAATCCTCGGTGGTGACTACCTCTTCTAGCACTTTCACCTCCCCCTCTTCTTCTTCTTCCGCAACGCTTCCGCCTCCAAGTCTCAGCAGCTCAACCAGATAATTCCTGTGCCGCCGTTGCCGTTGCTGCCTGTCCTGCCGCCTCCTCAGCCGCTCCTCCTGGTGCTGCTGCTGCCGGTTAAACTGGTAACGCCGCAGGAAAAGCTCCTTGGCGTACTCGTACAGCTCCACATCCAAGGCGTTGAGCCCCTCGATGCGCCACCGGACCTTTTCACTGATCCCCACGCTGGCGGCTCGCGTGCTGTTGATCTGGGTGAAGGCTTGGATGAAGCGCAGCCCGAAAGTCCTCTCAAACAGATACTGCGTCTTACGCTGAAACTCCGTCAGGCCAAAGAAGGCCATATTGCGTAGGTTGGCCTTGGCGCTGGCGAGCAGCACGCGACCTCGCTCTAGCTCGCTCATTGAGGACATGTTGTAGCAGCCCACCAAACTGAGATCTGCCAGCATTCGAACCTGACGGTTGTTAGCTAGGTTTGAGGGACAGTTCATGAAGTCTGTTAGCGGCACCCCCGTCCAGTCTTCGCCGCTGTAGCAGGCGGGAAGCTCATCCTGAGTGGGAGGGCGGCCGTCACACATGTGGAGGGCTGTTTTCCACGTAGCCCCTCTCTGTACATGCTTCCACTCACTGAGGTAGCGTGACACAGGGTCACGTAGCATAGTGATGTAGTAAAAATTCCTGCAAAGACAGAGATACACACGTTAAGACTTGCATTCTCTATGATACCTGCAGTTTGTCAATTTGTTTACTAGACAATTTGGACAAAGACTCAACTGAAAAAATAATTTAAGACAGCCTTTTGTTTGACCCTTTAAAACATGGTTTGATGAGCAGACTGACACCTCAGCTGTTCAGCGCTGATGCAGCCATTAGCCTGTAGCCTAGTTTCCTGAATTCAGGTCGGAAATCCCCATGCTGTGTGACCGCGTCCATGATGAATGGGTTCAATCCACTGATCTCTACTTCTACTACTAATTCACTGGATTGCTGATAGGCTGAAGAAAAGTAAAGCCACCTGCCGCCGTCTTGGTACTCCTCATTCTCACGTAGTCGCGCCATAAAAATGCCAATGTGTGTAGCATTTGGCTGCAAAAACAAGCAGCTTTCTGTCTCTGGGTAGACTCTTCACAGGTACAGTACTTGCACAGTCAGTGGATGCAATGTAGACACAGCATAAAAGTATTTGACATTATGCATGCAAAATTTGCATGCATAATACCATATATGGCATTATGCATGCTCTATTTACATGCATAAGAAATACTATAGCATCAACATGCATGCACTTATAATTCAGTCTTGATGTAAAATCTTGGAATTATATGTAATTATCATATCCATTAAAACATACATTTTGTTGTGATGGATTTGTATATTAGGTTATATTTAATGATTTATAGACTTCATAGACTTCATACTGCCTATGCAATCTGATGTGCCTATATTGTCCATATATTACAGTAATCTACTTATGCTAAGAAACATCAAGTGTTGGTCAAAGTGATGAATTTATCTTAAGTCTTGAGCCCCCGAAAATTAGAAAATCCTTGTTGTTTGATGCTGTAGCGCACATATTGTTTACATTCCGACCTGTCTAAGTAGGGAGTACCAATATGGCAGCTGGTGACATCACATCCGTGCACTACTAATGGCCTACCAGCAATCCAGGGAATAAATAGAGATCAGTGGTTCGATCTTGCAAACAATGGAAGCGTTATATTCAGGATGGATTTTGTGGATACTTGGAAGCTCATCTCAGACACTATTAG